GTCACTGAAAGAGCAACCAGTATTTCTCTTTCTTCTGCTGCCTCAGGAAATCCAGCCAATCACTGTGCCCTGACCTCCAGAGGCACATATTATGCTAAGTGTCTTAATCCCTTCTCAAAGGGCCTAAGGTAGGAAAAAGTGCCTCTTCATCTCCCAGTGGAGATTGGAATGCCAAAAGGGACTGCTATAGCACAGGCTTCAAAAAGAATTTCCCCATATCTTCTTTAGCCTGTTGAATAGGCCGGAGGAGAGCAGTCATAACTGGAGGCAGGACAGCTTTCCCCATATCTTACTTTAGCCTGTTGAATGGGCCGGAGGAGAGCAGTCATAACTGGAGGCAGGACAGCTTTCCCCGTATCTTACTTTGTTCTAATAGCATCTTGCTTGAAGGTGTAGGAATATTTGCTACTGTAACCTCCCAACGGGTTCGCCTCGCCCACTACCTAGACAGAGCTGATTTATCAAGACAGGACAGTTGCAATGGAGAAAGAGTAATTCACACAGAGCCTGCTGTATGGGAGACCGGAGTTTTACTATTACTCAAATCAGTCTCCCCAAGCATTTGAGGACTGGAGATTGTAAAGATGATTTGGCAGGTAAGGGCTCCGGAAGCAGGGAGTGCTAACTGGTCAGGTTGGAGATGGAATCGTAGAGGCGTCAGAGTGAAGTTTCCCTGCTGTCTTCTGTTCCTGAGTGGGATCGCAGAACTGGTTGAGCCAGATTACCAGTCTGGGTGGTGTCAGCTGATCTATACAGTCTGCCAAATGTCTCAAGCACTGATCCTAGGTTTTACGAGTGATGTTATCCTCAGGAGAAATTTAAGAAGGTTCAGATTCTTACAGTCACAGGTTGCATGACCCCTAAACTGTAATTTCTAACCTTACAGCTAATTTGCTAGTCCTCCAAAGGCTGACTTGTCCTCCGGAAAGAAAGGGGTCTTTTCAGGAAAAGGCTATTTTCAATTTCGTTTCAGAGTCAAACCATAAACAAGTTCCTTCCCAAGCTTAGTTTGGCCTACATCCAGAAATGAACAAGGATAGCTTAAACGTTAGAAGCAAAATCGAGTCAGTTGGGTCTAATCTGTTTCACTGTCATAATTTCCTCAGTTGTAATTTTTGCAAAGGCGGTTTCACTACCTACTGCATTGTTGTAACCCTGGAGTGCTGCTGGTAAAACCTCTGGACAATGAGACTTGCATTTAATATTACTTACATATAAAGCACTCAGTACATGACAAGTGGCCCTGAAGGTGAATGCCTCCTTCAATTCTGTGTCCTAAGAGCATGTATTGCTTCACACTGGTCCCAACTCTGTTCAGTAGAGTATGTGGTATTTAATACACACTCTATAAATAGTCATAATCTGAATTGTGCTACTGTTACTGCTTATAAAAAATTTAAATTTTTTAACTTTGCACACATGACCATTTACAATCTCTTCTGAGACTTCCTTTTCAAGCTCAACTTCAGGAAAAAAAATTATATATATATATATTTCAACTTGTCTACTGACAGGAAGGAATTTTTTTAAAAAAATCCTGTCCCTTGTGGTTCATCCTCACCAGAATAGCTATTAACATAGGAATAAGGGTTAAGAGCATGCAGTTTGTGTTCATACAGAATTGAATCAGGCGTAAGAGTTAAGGCATGCCATTTGTGGTCAGACAGAATTGAATCTCGGCCAGGTGCGGTGGCTCATGCCTGTAATCCTAGCACTTTGGGAGGCCTAGGTGGGCAGATCACAAGACTAGGAGTTAGAGACCAGCCTGGCCAATGTGATGAAACCCAGTCTCAACTGAAAATACAAAAATTACCATTGCTTTTGGCGTTTTAGTCATGAAGTCTTTGCCCATGCCTATGTCCTGAATGGTATTGCCTAGGTTTTCTTCTAGGGTTTTTATGGTTTTAGGTCTTACATTTAAGTCTTTAATCCATCTTGAGTTAATTTTTGTATAAATTGTAAGGAAGTGATCCAGTTTCAGTTTTCTGCATATGGCTAGCCAGTTATCTCAATACCATTTATTAAATAGGGAATCTTTTCCCCATTGCTTGTTTTTGTCAGGTTTGTCAAAGATCAGATGGTTGTAGATGTGTGATGTCACTTCTAAGGTCTCTGTTCTGTTCCATTGGTCTATATCTCTGTTTTGGTACCAGTATCATGCTGTTTTGATTACCGTAGCCTTGTAGTATAAAGAACTTCTGCACAGCAAAAGAAGCTATCATCAGAGTGAACAGGCAACCTACAAAATGGGAGAAAATTTTTGCAATCTAACCATCTAACAAAGGGCTAATATCCATAATCTACAAGGAACTTAAACAAATTTACAAGAAAGAAACACAAAACTTCATCAAAAAGTGGGCAAAGGATATGAACAGACACTTCTCAAAAGAAGACATTTATGCAGCCAACAAACATGAAAACAAGCTCATCATCACTGGTCATTAGAGAAATGCAAATCAAAACCACAGTGAGATACCATCTCACGCCAGTTAGAATGACAATCACTAAAAAGTCAGGAAACAACAGATGCTGGAGAGGATGTGGAGTAATAGGAATGCTTTTACACTGTTGGTAGGAGTGTAAATCAGTTCAACCATTGTGGAAGACAGTGTAGCAATTCCTCAAGGATCTAGAACCAGAAATACCATTAGACTCAGCAATTCCATTACTGGGTATATACCCAAAGGATTATAAATCATCTATTACACATGCACATGTATGTTTATTGCAGCACTGTTCACAATAGCAAAGACTTGAGACCAACCCAAATGCCCATTGATGATAAACTAGACAAGGAAAATGTGGCACATATATACCATGGAATACTATGCAATCACAAAAAAGGATGAGTTCATGTCCTTTGCAGGGACATAGATAAAGCTGGAAACCATTATTCTCAGCAAACTAACACAGGAACAGATAACAAAACACTTCATGTTCTCACTCATAAGTGGGAGTTGAACAATGAGAACACATGGACACAGGGAGGGGAACATCACACACCAGAAACCGTCAGGGGGTGGGAGGCTAAGGGAGGAATAGCATTAGGAGAAATACCTAATGTAGATGACAGGTTGATGGGTGCAGCAAACCACCATGTGTATACCTATGTAACAAACATGAACATCTACACATGTATCCCAGATCTGAAAGTATGAAAAAATAAAATTAGCTGGGTGTGGTGGTGCATGCTTGTACTCCCAGCCACTCAGAAGGCTGAGGCACAAGAATTACTTGAACCTGGGAGGTGGAGTTTTCAGGGAGCCAAGATTGTACCACTACATGCCGGCCTGGGTGACAGAGTGAAATTCCATCTAAAAAAAAAAATTGAATCCAAATTGACTAGGCAAATGATTGCTTCAGCAACTTATTCAACCCCTCAAGGTTTCAGTCTTAGTATATGTAGAATGAAGATAATAGAGACTTCTTTATAGACTGTTTGTTAGAATATTAGCAAAAACAACGTACTTGAAATGCTTAGTAGATAATACATGCTCTATAAATGATGGCTACCCTTTTGTGCCTGAATCCTTGTGTACTTTTATACTTTCCTGCCTAATATTTTTTGGCTTTGTGTCCCCACTCAAACCCCAGCTCAAATTGTAATTGCCACTTGTCAAGGGAGAGACCTTGTTGAAACCACCTTTGCACAATTATAACTGTCAAAATTATGTCAGTGAAGGAGATCAGGCCTAACTGAGCCCATCTTCCTTCTAACCCCTAAACTGTCTGTTCATTCCTGGGTGTAGGCCAAACTAGCCTTGGGAACAAAGACTTCTGTAAGTAGGCTACTTCAATTCTTTGTAATGTTTTACAAAGTTTACCTCTTTCATCATTTTTTATTTGTTTCATTTTAATTGGTGATTTATAGTTTATTTTCATGACACAGTTATTTAAGAATTAAGATTCAATTTCTGCTCCCAGTTCTAGTTCTGTAATTTTGCACAAATTGCTCTCTAGGTCTCATGTACATTCTCAGACTTATGCTGCCTATTATTTTCAAAGTCCATGTTAATATTCCACAGAACTAGCTTCTACAAATGAATTTTACCAAAAAGTGTTCTAATAATTCACATCAATAGATTACATCACATGAAGCAAAAATAAGAAGTAAAACCAATGGAATGACACACACGATGACTCTTGTTTTCAGACAATATATATATCTGTACCCCTAAATTATCTAAAGAGAATAAACAGAAAGTCTTAATCAAATTAAATAAAGTCATTATCTGAAAGATAAATATAAAAACCTCAATAACTTTTGCTTTCAACAATTTAGAAAGTTTTATAAATATATGCTATTTCCATTTGGGTGCCATGGCTTATACCAGTAATCCACTAGTTTGGAAGGCCAAGGCCAGGGGATCACTTGAGCCCAGGAATTTGAGATTAGTTTAGGCAACATAGCAAGACTCCATCTCTACAAAAAATTTAAAAATTAGCCAGGTGTGGTGGTAAACACCTGTAGTCCAGCTGCTTGGGAGGCTGAAGCAGGAGGACTGCTTGAGCCTGGGAGGTCAAGGCTGCAGTGAGCTGTAATCACATTGTGACTGAATTGTGGACAATGGGCTCAGGTTGCTCCTGAAAAGATGTGTTCTTCCAGGCCCTTGGTCCCTCACTCACGAAGAATGGGAGAGAGGACCCCGCTGGACGCGGTGAGCTCATTTTAAGTAAAATTGGACCCCACAGAGTTTTGCAGAAAGTGATTTATTTAGGTGGAGAGAGAGAAAACAGAGAAAGAAATAGAGAGAGAGATAGAGAGTGAACTCTCACAGTGTTGTGAGAGGGGATCCAGAAATGGAATCCACCCAGATGTGGGACAAGGAGACTTTTAACCTGGGAGTTATTCCCGCCCTATTAAAGGTTTCTGTCCTGTGAAAGGAGTTCCTTTAAACTTCCACTGCTGTGATTGATCTTTGATTTCTGACATCTTATTTGTATTTGGCCCACAGTCCTCCCATAGCTTCTCATGGGCTTTCTAGACAAAGGAAGCTCACCTGGGCAGTCCATCTTCCCGCATGCGTGAAAGTTAAACAAAGACCTCTAAGCTCCTGGATGGAGAAGTAAGTGGAGGTATGGCACTGGGAAGGCCTTGCCTTTGAAACCACACTCCCTTTTGGACCTGGGAAGAGAATACATTCCCTCAATAACACTGCATTTTCCTGGGTGACAGAGCAAGACCCTGTCTCAAGTAAATAAGACATAGATCATTTCCAATAGCATCACAAATATGAATAAGTTGGAAATAACCGTTAGAAAAAAAGCATGTATTGCAGGGTCAGTGACAGATTCTATTTGAGGAACATGTGCTGAGAGGCACTGTGAAAGACATGATTAAATAGTGAATAAATGGGATCCTGATGGAAAGATTCATATTATAAACACATTAAGTCATTGCAAATTTTTAAACTTAATGTCAATCTATAAGATTTCAAATGGTTTTAGGGAAATATTTAATACAAATTTTTTATTGTTACAATTTACTAAATCATCTCTATGTGCCAGGCACCTAAGTTTAAGCATTTTACATGTATTAGCACACATAATCCTAATAAAACCGCCTTTGCAAAATTATGGCTGATTCAGTGAAAGAGGTCTAACTTAACGGACTCCATCTTGCTTCTAACCGCCAAGCTGTCCTTATTCATTCCTAGGTGTGGGCTGAACTTACTTTGGGAGTAACTTACTTTATAGTTGATAGTTTAAACAAGGACAGTAACAGTTCTTTCCCAAAGCAGACCTCCTTCTTGCCTGAGGACTAGATTGTCTTTGTGGGACTATCAGCAGCCACAGGATTAGGAATCATGGTTTAGGACTGCAGCTGGAGGCTACAAGATTCTGACTCTCCCTAAACTGCTCCTAAGATCTGTGCTTGAGATATTTTGTAGGCGTTGCACTTGATGGATTAGCTGGTTCCACCCAGACCAATGAACCGGCTCATCTGATCTTGCGGCTTCCACCCAGGAACTGATTTAGCTTAAGAAATCAACTCCTTATGATTTCATCCCTGACCAATAAGCACTTCTGACTCACTAGCTTGAGCCCATCCACCAAGTTACCCTTAAAAAATCTCTGCTACCCAATTGCGTGGGGAAACTGATTTGAGTAATAATAAAACTTCGGGCTCCCCCACAGCAAGCTCTGCGTGAATTACTCTTTCTCTATTGCAGTTCACCTGTCTTGAATCAGCTCTGTCCAGGTGGTGGGCATGGTGAACTCCTTGGGTGGTTATGTAACCACTCCGCTCCCTGTTCAGAAGAGTTTGCAGTTCGAATAAATATCATGGACCCAAAGAGATTTGCAGAACAGCAATTTTTTTTTTTTTTTTTTTTTTTTTTTAGACAGAGTTTCGCTCTTGTTACCCAGGCTGGAGTGCAATGGCGTGATCTCGGCTGACCACAACCTCCACCTCCTGGGTTCAGGCAATTCTCCTGCCTCAGCCTCCCGAGTAGCCGGGACTACAGGCACGTGCCACCATGCCCAGCTAATTTTTTGTATTTTTAGTAGAGACAGGGTTTTACCGTGTTGACCAGGATGGTCTCGATCTCTTGACCTCGTGATCCACCCGCCTCAGCCTCCCAAACAGCAATTTATTAGACAGAGAGAGAGAGAAAGAAAGACAGCTCCCACGTCGTCCGGAGGGGACCCAGAGAAGATATCCATATACGTAGGAAGCAGCTGGAGTTTTAACCCTTGAGTTATTCCCTCCCCATTCATGTTCTTGTCCAATGAGAGGAGTTATTTCAAACGTCCTCCGGAGTGATTAATCTTTGACTCTGATACTGAATTGGCTGCTTGGTCCACAACTCTGAGTTACAAAGCCCCCTCCTCCCAGAGGTTTTGGTGGTTTTTTTTGAGACAAATGAACCTCACTTGGCTTTTTCTACCTAGCCTGTGGTGTGGGGAACCCACACAAAGAACTTTACATTTGAAACCCCTCTGGTTCCTGGATGGAGGCATGGAGCTGGGAAACTCCTGCCTTTGAAACCACGTCCCTTGCAGACCCAGAAGTTCCTCAGTTACACTAATAATAACCCTTGTAGAAATACTATTATTATGCCCTTCTTAAAGATAAAAAAACTGAGGCGTAGAAATGATGCATTTTCTTCCAGATTGCACACAGTTAATCAGCGGAGCTGCCAGGACTTAAGTCTAACTAGCCTGACTTCACTTAGAGTTAACTTTGTTTCACTTCCAATGACAAATTGAAAAAAAAAAAAAAGAGCTACAGTAATCGTAAATGAGTCTTAAGGAAATAATTGCTTTATAATTCCGATTTAGATATATAAATGTATTAGAAGGCATTTGTAAACCAAAAAGTATCTGAGACAGGTCTCAATCAATTTAGAAGTGTATTCTGCTGAGGTTAAGGATATGGCTGTGATACAGCCTCAGGAGGTCCTGAGAACATGTACCCAAGGTGGCCAGGCTACAGCTTGATTGTATACATTTTAAGGAGACATAGACATCAATCAAGACTTGTAAGATGTACATCGGTTCAGTCTGGGAAGACAGGATGACTTAAAAAGAGGGGGTGAGGTCCTAAGTGGGTTCAATGATTTCTCAATTGGCAATTGGTTGTGAGAGTTTCTCTCAAGACCTGGAATCAATAGAAGGGAGAAATGGGAGTGTCTGGGTTAAGATAAGGGATTGTGGAAACCAAGATTTTTATTATGTAGATGAAGACTCTAGGTAGCAATTTACAATAAATTGTAAATGATTCTTATTAGACTTAAAAAGGTACTAGACTGTTAATTCTCTCCTAGGTCAGAATGAAGATCTGGAAAGGCAGAAGAATTCTCTACAGAATGTAGATTTTCCCCACAAGAGAGAATGTTGCAGGACCATTTCAAAATATGTGAAATAAATATATTTTGGAGAAAAATTATTTGATTTCTTTTGGGGACTGCTATCTGTCTTGTTGGTATCTTAGTGCTACAAAGCATCAGCTTTGTCATTCTTAAGGTCTCTGTTTTAATGTTAAATGTTGGTAAGCCATGCTTGAATTGCAAAGGGAGGACAGTATGAAGAGGCATGACTGGCCCACACTTCTCATTATGGCCTGAACTAGCTTTCATGTTAACTTGGGAATGTTATTGGTCAAGCGGACAGATCTGTTAAATTGGATGGGATGCTTCAAATTTTATTTCGGTTTACATATCAATAAATAGGTTTATATCACATATCACACATCTCAAATTCAGATGGAATGATAATTAAATGGAAAGAAATACAACAATAAAACATAAAATAGAATTGATGTCACCTGTTGTTTAAGGCTCTCTAATTCTGAATGCAATAAAATAATATAACAAATATTAACACAGAGTCTCTTATTTTCCAGGTATCATACTAAGGCATTACAGGTATAATAGTAAGTGATGGAGAACCAGTTTTTGCTGTAAAGGCACAGCCATTAGCCTAAACAGACATTAAGCCATATTTACTGTAATGGCTAATTACTACTTGGTACTCTAAGAGTTTTGACCAAGATACCTGATTTTTGACATTAGGATCACAGAAAACATCCCTAAGGAGGTGACACTGGTTCTGAGACATGAAGCTATGAGGGCAGTACAGGAGGCAAACAGTTTGGAGTGGTAGGCAGGAAGATATGATAGGATAAAATTTCAAAAAAGGGTATATCGTATATGCAAAGGCCATGAATGGAATGAGGTTGGGTCTAATGAGAGCTATCAATAATGGTTAACAGGCTATGTCACATAAAGAGAAGAGTGAGGTAAAATGTGTCTGGGTAAAATTTCTGAGTATATATAAACATAAAATTTTGAATACTTAAAAATATAAAATGTTTGCATGTTAAAATCAGTTATTCTTAAGTGTAAATAAGCTGAAGAAAATACCTTTTTGCAATAGTCTTAGTTACAGTGTACAAATTAATCAATAAATATTCAACTCCCCAGATAAATGGACCAAAGAAATAAACAGACTGCTCATTGAAGATAAAATACACAGATTTAATGCATATTGAAGAGATTTAATCTTGTTTTGTGTGTGTGTGTGTGACAGAGTTTCACTCTTGTTTCCCAGGCTGGAGAGCAATGATCCAATCTTGGCTCACCACAACCTTTGCCTCCCCGGTTCAAGCAATTCTCCCGCCTCAGCCTCCCAAGTAGTTGAGATTACAGGCATACGCCACCATGCCTGGCTAATTTTGTATTTTCATAGAGAGACAGGGTTTCTCCATGTTGGTTAGGGTGGTCTCAAACTCCTGACCTCAGGAGATCTGCCTGCCTCAGCCTCCCAAAGTGCTGGCGTGACAGGGGTGATCCACTGCACCTGGCCTTAATCATACGTTTATTCAGTGGCTCCATATATCAAATTCATAAAAATATAGTAAATAAAATATTAACCAGGACAGGTAAAGGAGAGCTAGAATGAGTACTGTACTAGGAAGATAAAACCTTTTCAAAAGCCTTCATTTGGGCAGTATATAGCAAAGTCCTTAAATAATGTAAACATTTCACCCTGATATTCTATTTTATTTATCAATTGATCCATTTTCCCAACCATTTATCAAAATCTAACTGGGCAACTACTATGTCCAAATTATAAGAAAAAAAATCTTCATTAAAGAATGAAATGGAATAATGGATAGAATTTGAATATGAGAAAGGGCACTTAAGAAAAATACATTACTTTTTACAAGTTGACACCCAAGAGATCTCATGCAATTTACATAGTATATTCACATTTATTTACATTATAGATAAAGTAGACCTAATATATGTATGTGAATAATTTACAAACACACACACACACGCACACACACACTCAAGGGGGAATAGATAAATTTTTGTAGTTACTTATTTTACTGACTGAAGCAATATCAACTATAAAAAATATTAGGAAAAGAAATGGTTGTTCCATTTCACTTTCTCAAGGGCTCTTTTGAAAACAGAATTAAATGTTTTATTATTTTTCTTTCTTTTGAAAAATATTTTGTGTGTGAAGGCAGAATCTAAAGTAGTTACTGGGAAAAAAATGTTTCCTATTGCCTGGAGTAAATTATATGCTTAAATACATGAAGTGACATTCTTGCTAGATGGAATGACATTCTTGGTAGGCAATTTATTTCACATTTACTCTCTATAGAGAGTAATAAATTTCAATCATTTGGATTTACAAGGTAAAACAAGACAGAACATCAATCTCTTTCTAAAATCCTACAGTGTTGAACTATACAGATTTAAAAAGACGATATATGTTCCTTTGTGAAAGCTTTAACTGAACTACTTGAATTCTCACAATTCATTTATATTATCAGCACTCAATTGACAATTTTGAATTAGAGTAATTTCATAAAGTGATCTAGATACAGGAAAAAATATGAAAATGGATTTTCCTTTATAACCTTCCTCATACCTGAGTTTCCATTTCCATTTAAGCTGACATCATAGTCCAGACTCATATCACTTCATTCTTGGATTATTGTGAAATCGTAACTGTTTTCTTTCCATTCAGTCTGCTTTGCACAATGCCATCAGATTAATTTTGCTGAAATATATTATTTTTATTATGTCACTATCCTGCTCAAATGGTCTCTATCATGTGCAGGATGAAATTCAAATTATTTTGAAAGACATTCATAATTTCCTCCCCTCCAGCCATAACCTACCTTCCTTAACTTATCTCCCACTACTCATTCGTTAGCATGAATCTCACATCTTTATGTTTCTCTCCCATCTCAGTACATTCTCAATTTGTGCCTGTGTGGTGGAGCTTTTTCATGAATGTTGTATTATTTTTTATTGTTGCTGTAATAAATTTCCAAAAACTTTGTAGCTTAAAGCATCACAAATTCATTATCTTACAGTTCTGGGGCCAGAAGTTGACTATGCCTCACTGTGTTAACAACAAGGTGTTGGCAGGACTGCCCCCTCCTGCAGGCCCTAGAGGATAACATGTCTGCAGCTTCCAGAGCCTGCCTGCATTTTTAAGCTTGTGGCTCCTTCTAGCTTCAACTCCGGAAATGGTTGGTTGAGTCTTCCTC